GCCGATGCGCGACACAGGAGGGAAGGGGGGGGCAATAGGAGATCACCCACTCCCAATAATACGAATGCGAAATAATAATAATAATAACAAAAACACGAACAACACAGAAAAGAATGGCGATGGGGTTGAACTAGCGGTGTCTATGAGAGGTTAGGTTATCTACTTTTTTGGTGGTGGTGGTGGTGGTTTTGTTCGCCTTCTTTAAAACGCAAAGAAGGAACGGTTGTATAGTATATCTCTATGGGGAAAAAAATGGAAAATAATATATATATATATCGGTTTATATGCAATAGGAGGGGCGCCGACGACTCCGCTCACGTATGAGGTCCCACTTTGGAGGAGAATATAAGAAATGCGATGGCACCCTCGGTCGGATCCTCTTTTAGGTTGGTTTACCCTTGTAGAAAAAAGCTTCCCTCAGCTACAACACCCCCCTTCTAAGGGGAGTTCTTGGAAACTGGACGGGGGAAATTGAAATCAAAGCCTCCACGTAAAGAAATAAGAGGGAAAGAACAAAGCATGAAGAATAGTCATCCAAAGGATAAGATCGCGCGAATCCATCCCATGGCATTATCATATCTTCGTTGTTTCAAATGTCGTTAATTAACCTTCACACAGCGTTTTTTTCATTTTCAGCATGCATCCTCTCGCTTTCTAACATTTTCCATAATTGGATTTCCATCATATTTTTTTTATACAGATATAATACACAAATGGATGTGCAGCCTTCTCCCCCTTTTCGGGAAAACACGCGCATCAAAAACAAAACGATAAACCAATAATCATAGCAATCGTGGAACGTTCCCCACCGTTAACGCTTCCTCGCGTAGAGGTCGTGCTCCTCGATGAATTTCGAATTCACTATCTGTCCGTCAAACTTGTTGACATCCTCCATCCGCCGCTTTTCCATCCATTCAAAAAATCCCTGCGCCTTTTCCTTCTGTCTCGCCTGGCGGACTCTCTTTTCAATTTCCTCCACCTTCATCCCGTGTGTGCGCTGAAGCTCTTCCTTTTCTTCCTCCGATAACTGCCTCCACCACTCCAATTCTTTTTCCGCGTTGTTATCATCGTCGCCGAGATTCATGCTATCTCGTTTGGAAACGAGAATCATCTGCACCACAATCGTGAACATCACAAGGCCGACGACGAATTTAGGAATGCGCGCGTACTTTTTATCCAGCGTGGGCGAGCACTTCGGGCATTTACACCAAAATCGATAGCGATCGTGAAGGACGTACTGACGATTGTCAAACGACCATTCCGGTGGGACATAGCTGATGAGAATCTCCTCCCCGGCCTCAATCCGCCGCGTTGCGCGACAGCAAAAAAGATAAACGGGCGCGCCGTATTCGGTAAGCGCGTTGGAAGAGATTTCCTCCCCTGACGTGGCGTTCTCGTCCTTCGCGAATTGTCTGGAGGGCGACGGGAAAGCGGGAAGGCGGCTGTTTTCGTTGTCGATCCCCTCATTATTAATGGGATCAGAAAGCTTTTCAGACGACGACGGGGCCGCGGAATTCCTTTCGTGGGGATTCGGAATCCCATCGTGGAGGGCATCGCTTGAAGAGCGCTCCAACGAAAGCGTCTCTGGTTTTTCCGCCGCGCTCGATTTCGCGTTCGTTTCCTCCGCGATCCATCCCCGCGCGTCCTCCTGCATGAATCCCTTGTCATTTTCATTTTCTTCTTCTTCTTCCTGCTCGTTGGAAGGGGTGAAGTACTCGCTTTCCTTAAAGACGTGCTCAGGGAGGATGTCGTACGTCGCGTTTGGTGTGCAGCTGTGGTTTAAAAACCCCGCCTCGGGGAAGTACGCCATTCCTTTTCGCTCCGCAAACGCACTTTCGACGAGAAACGAATTCAAATCGATAATCGCGGCCAAACGCGCGATGTGAAGTGGGTGGAGTTCGAGGCGATCGAGGACCTCCCTCCCGCCGATCTCGCGCACCACCCGCTCCGTCGCGGCCGCCGGCCAGTGCTCGAGCAACGACGACGGCTGCCCGGTGAGGATCCACTCAAAGAGAAAATCCAACGCCTTGGCGCCCTCGCCTTTTTCCCCATCCGGGTCGGCGTCGCGTGGCGTTTCCGTGGCCTGGTCGTCCTCACGGAGGAGG